GCTCGGCTAGGACATCTGCCAGTTCCCGCAACACTCTGGGGTGCATCCCATCAGGGCCCATGGATTTGTGGGTGTCAAGGCTCCCTAGATGCTCTCTGTCAGACTCTCTGACATTAAGTCAAACTGCACAAGCCATGAACAAGGCAGCAGCTAGCAGCTGRCTCCTCCCTCCAGCTCAGCCTATCCCTCTCTAGAGGAAATCAATTATTTTTATCAGAGAGCCTTGCAGAACCTGGTAGTGTGTATTTAGATGGAATTATGCTCAGTTGTTACCAAGAAAAAACAACAATTTGATAAAAAATAACCATAAAAAGGTATTATAATCAGGGCTTCGAAAACTATTTAGCTCATGTCACAATGCAAAAATGATTTTTTGAGGGAAAACTGGTAGTGAAACTGTGAACACATGGCTCATTTAAGACATCTGCCTTGACATAGGAGCAGTTCGACCTCAGGAACTGCAAAAGTCTAAACTCCACTGTGATCCTCTGGATTAAAACTCCACCTTGCCACTTTGCTAACCCAAAGAACCATGGCAAGCTGGTGTTCTGGGCCCAGGAGACTCATACATGCACTCTCTGTGTGCTGACCATTTCCATGCCAGAAAAGCACATGGGTTCATCAGAAACAGAAAGGTGAGACTTTGTTCTTCGTGAGTTTAGACTGTGTTCAACTCTCAAAAGTGACTGTGCACAAAGAAGCACAAGGTTGCACATTTGATATCTTCTGGTAGATTCCATATCCAATGTGCTTTAGCTCCATGGCAGCCCTTCAGAGACAGGACTCTGAGAGCAGGAAGCTTGATCACCTTACGTGCTGCTCTGCAGCAACCTTGCCTTCAAAGTCTGCAGCATCTGTGTGTCCCCACAGGAAGGTTACCCAGGTCTATACAACAGGGTTGAGCAGATGGCCCTGGTCAGGGTAAGGACAGTGCATCCGACATTCTGCTAGCTGCTAGAGCATCTGCATGGCTGGTGGATATGAAAAATCAGCTCCACCTAGACGCAAAACTTTTGCAATCAAATATAATGCCCAATGCAAGGGTTACCTTAGCAAAGTTTTCATGCAATAGCCTGTCTCTCTGGGAAGGCAAGATCCCTCCACATGTTTCTTGTGATATGAAGAGGCCTCACTAATTTCTTTTCAGGTCCCTGGTCAGAATTAGAACTTTGTGAATGAGCTGKTCTAGACTTACAAAGGAGGCTTAGGTACACGAAGGGTGACTGATTTGCTCAGCACTGCACAGTAGGGAAATGTAGTAGGGAGATGTAGATATGTAGGGACAAGGAGGGCTTTATCGCCAAAATCATGTATTTCAAGTGTGTCCTGGTTGGCAGAGGTAAACCAGAAGTGAAAGACAAGCACTTTTCTCAGCCTTGGAAGAAGAGCTTTTTGTCAAACACTAAACCCTCTAGGTAGGCAGTGACTAAGACAGGCTTAAGATGCAGCTCCACCTTTTCAAGATCAAATCTGGCTATTCATGATGCTTTGGAGATTCCCAAGACTCCAACATGAATAAAGAAGGGGAAAATAAGAGGTCACAGGTTCTTCCCTGGCTGCAGAGGTGGTCCAGATGCTTTAAGATCATCTACCCTAGACTTTATCAATTCATTCTGAGTCAGGTTTAGACCTCGTGCTCTGGGGTTGTCTTTTATTGCTTATCCTTTCAAATATTGTAAATGCTGATATTCCCGAAAATAATTTTTTAAAAAGATTGTTTTCTGCATTCTGCTCTCCTGCAGTCAATGTGAACTGAGATAATACTGGACTGACTACTCGTATCCATAAGATTCCCCATACAAAGACATGAGCAGCCATAGGAGTTGTGTTTAGTAGCTGTACTCTGCTCAGAGGAAGACAAGGCATAAACCAATCAGTTCAACACCTCCCGCCCTGAAGGTAGTTCAGTAATGAGCACTAAGCTCACACAAATTCCCTCCTCCCTGCCAAACTAGGAGCAAGCACTCCAGCAGCTACTGCAGAGCAGCTGAGCCATGGTACCGTGTTACCCCACTGTAACTTCATCTGGTAAATCTAAGCCTTTTCAGGGATAGAAGCAAATGAAATGCGTCTCCTTAGGACATCGTACTTGGCTCTTCCAGGAATACAAATATACCAGGACCTCAGGCTTGAAGCTCTTACAGAATTTATTGCCTTTCATTCTCTGGACGTTAAAGACCAAGTTGATTAAACCAGAGTCCATTAATAATGGAGTTATGAGGCACAACATCCAGTATACCAGCTGCAATTTAGGTCTCCGTCTGCATGGGTGGGATGAGGAGAATTTATGCTGTTACTGTTCGTTTATTTGAAGAATCAGCTTCAAGAGACTTGAAGAAYTAGGTCAACAGATAGTCACTCACCTCCCTCCAGGCTGGTTCTTTCTCTCACAACTTGTGCACTTTCCAGCCCTTCTGCTGCCTTATTTCTTTGCCTCACTTTGTCACCCTTTCAGCCCATCAGTCTAATGATATTTACCCCACAACTCTCYTCCCACCCTCTTTCGCTGCCCTCCTACAACTGCTACAAACTCTACCAACCTTTACTCGGCCTCGTTTCATCCTGGCACTTGTCTTGGTGAAGGTCTTTGGACTCCATGTTCATCCTTTGCATCTTTGCATTTATCCTCGAAAAAAAAAATCCCTTCCGTGCATCCACTCTCTGCCAGTGTCCCTTCAGCCTCCTCCCATCCCTATTCATTCCTTGCTTAGCACTTTCTCTTTTGGGCTCACTGGCATCCTCTTCTTGTGGACCCTCCCTTTCCTCTATTTTCAAATAAGCCTCTGAAATCCCTGTAAAAATCCTTCTCTACATACCATTATGTCTTTCTCATCTCCTTCACCTCTTATCCTTTCAAATGACTAGTTTACWCCCATTCTCTTGAACTCACCTCTCTGACACTCGGCAGTCTGGTTTTCAGCCACTTCACTCCACTGGAATTGCTCTCACTAAAATCACTAATGATGTCCTTCTCGTCCATTCGAACCACCTCCTCTCCAGCCTCTTTCCCTTTGATTTTTCCAACACCTTTGACATATCAGACCATTCCTCTCCTTGGGGTTCCCCACAACTCAGCTGCTCTACTGAAAATTGCCATCTTTAGTTTTAGGAGAGGTTGGTTGTTGACAGCCAAAAGCATAAGAATAAAGGGGCACAGTGAAAAGGGTAATTCTGTGCACTGTCTCTGCACACTAATGAAGTTCCTCTTAGGAAACCATGAAGATTTTAAGGACAAACCTTAGAAGAAAAACATTACAAGAGAAATCCCAGCAAAAGATTTTACTGTTGGCTATAGTGCCTTAATGTGAGACACAGGTAACACACAAGAGATTTGATATCTTCATAGTTTCCTCAATGTGTTTGTGTAAGGAGTATGAAAAAAAGGAAAACAGTTGAAGCAATAATTTCATTCTGCTACAGATTTATTGTTTTTATGGAGCTTTCAGTTTACAGATAAAAAGAGAGACGGATTAATTCTCAACTATATACAGGCATGCAGCATAGGCATAAAAAGCAAAATAGCAGAAGTTTCCCAGTGTAAGGTTAGCTAAAAGCCATAGATGGTGCAGGTTAAAAGTAAACAGTGCTGCACAGAGAAGGTCACAGCCAAAGGTTCTGAGGGGGGTCCTTAAATCCGATGGCTCAGCAAAGAAGCTAGAGGCTCTTTTTAAGTTGGGCTAGGCTTGCAGAGCTACATGGATAATATGAACAGATGTTCCTACTGCTGACTCTCACCGGACCCACTTCTACAAAGCTAGTTCTACTTRAAAACTGGGTGAAATAAAATCTGTAATTGCTTTAGGTTGGCTTTTTGTTGGCTCTCCAGAGTACGGAGAGATGTAACACATGAGAATTACCATGAGCTTCAAATCAAAGTGGGAAATTGGAATGGCTACACTCTGTCCCCTAGCCCAGTTTCATACTCTGTTGCCTACCATCTAGTCTACTGCAAAGCTGGGAATGATAAAACCCTCTCTGCTTCCTGTTAAAGTTAAAAGACTTCCAAAAAATGAGGTTAAAAAAATATGGGGAGTCAACTCCTAGATGCACTACTCCCTCCTCAGTGTGTCAAAGCAATTAGTGAAAGTCAGATCAAAAGATCCACGCTGCAGAAAAAAAAAAAAAACAATTCATCATGGGGTATCCCCCTGTGAGGACAAAACATTTGAAAATAAATTGCAGGTAACTATGAGAGCTAATACTATACTACTGCCAGGAGGAGAGGTCAGCAGTTACATCTGATAATAGACTCTTTCTTTCATTTAGGGATCACTGGTTTTTATTTCTTTTTTCCAAAAGAAGAGCTAAATATTGATTAAGTGATATCACAAATACCACAAGATTATGAAAACAATTGTAGGGATTAACTCCCCCAAAGTTCCAGGATAGCCTCAGCTACAGAAACTGTGCCAGCTATTAACATGGCTATTAACATCTGTATGCACAGGAGTAATCCCTTTTTTTTCTCTCTTCTTTTTCTCTTTTTTTTTTTTTTTTCCTGTTTTTCTTTTTCTTCACTGTGCCTGATTGCTCCAATATATATTACGTTTCTGTTTGGAGAGCATGGGATGCGCCACTCGGGAGCTCACCCGGCACTCCTTGGTGGGCCCTGCCTTGAGCCAGGGGAAGTCAAAGGCTACCCAAGGAGGACAGAAGACACCCAGCTGCGTTGCCCATTCTCCCAAGAGAAAACCACCACCCCCAGAGCAGGGGCAGAAGGCACTGATGGTCCCCACGTCCTGCATGGGGGTGCTGGAGCTCCGATCCCACCGACTCAACCTTGTTCCCTGATGGCAAGCTCCCGAGCAGCCAACGGGCTGCGTGTCCCTCTGAGAGCGGCCTCGGGCTGCTGCAGAAGTTTATCTCCACTAAGTAAGAGCTCAAGCCGGCTGCTCAGCACATGCCGGAGCCCAGGCCGTGGGCTGAATGCGATCCCCGGAGCCCGCTCCCATATACCCGCTGGCGAGCACAGCTCACGTCGCCTTCCATTTTCCCCCCTCACTCCTCTCCTAGCGGGAGAAGCAACTTTAAAGCATGGGAGAGACAGGCAGAGAGAGCATGATGCCCTCTAATCCAACAAGTCAACTTCCCGAGCTCAAACATGAACTGATTTTTTTTTTTCTTCCCTCGCCTTATAAAAAAGAAATTGACTTTTGTTTGGAGTTTGTGAAAAGTGGGACTCGGGGCCCAGTCAATGGGGCTCCCCGCGGCGCGGGCTGAGTGGAGCCATCTCGAACCAGTCAGCCGCGGCACCAATTAATCCGCTCTTTGTCACAGCCCCGGCCCCAGCAGCAGCGGCAGCAGTAGCAGCAACACATTTGGCCATTGTTCAGACCTTCATGCAACGGGATTTACCCTTTCAAAGAGGCAGTTTTGTCCCAAAGAGTTCGAGCGGAAGTTTCTCACTGACAATTTGCCCCAAATAGATAGATTTGTCAGCAGCAACCTTTAAAAGCAAAAAGCCATGGAGGAAAAAGGGGAGAAAAAAAAAAAAGAAGTGTGGGGGGAAGAGCAAGTGCATCCTTGTCCGTGTGTCTGTCTGGGGGTCTGTCCCGAGCAGGTGGGGTGGGCGCCGRGCCTGAGGTGCAGAAGGGCGACGTGGCATTGATGGGGGCTCTTGTTCATCTCAAGGCAGATGTAGCAAGGGAGCTAACAAGCTCCCAGGCTCTTGTATAGCTGCTCTGACTTCTTAAAGCCTTTCAGGGCGTTGCTTTTACACGGCATTGTCATGCCTGCCTCACGGCGCCGTGCTCGCCCGGGGAAGGGTTCCCAGCCTCGAGCACTCCAGTGGCACAGCGTCACTGCGAGCAGCACGCCCCGTTCTCCACAGCCTGCCACCAAAATCCACATTCACACCAACACAAGCAGTCTTCTGCTGACCGGGGTACCACTCACCCATCGCCTTGTGCCCACATGCCCGGCACAAAAAGACGAAACAAGCTGCTAACGCTTGTTTCCTGACATTGCTCCCTAGGGACCGATTCCCTTGTGGGTTTGAAGGACTGACTCCAATTTACACCTTCACACGAGCTGAAAGTCTAATTTGTTCTGTCATAAACTGCAGTTCTTCATGCAAACTGCTGCTTCTCCCACCCTCCCATGGCCTAGCTCTGCCCAGACCTCTCTTGCCCCACACCTCCCCACACACTCCCAACAGAGGAAAGGAGAAAGTGCAGGGAAATCTCTGCCCAGAGTGACACCCTGCGTGATCCAAGCCCATCCGCACCCTGCATCTCCCAGCGGCACRGACACATCCCTGCTCTTTCACCAGGGGACAACAACTGTCTGCCACACAGACAGGCAGCATGCAACAGAAAACGGAGAGCCMTGCATAAGGACAAGGCTTTGCTAAGCCCTCTTTAGAACAAGTTTTTTGGTGGGGGGGAATGGAAAAAGACGGCTAGCCTCCCCTGCAACACCACCTCTGTCCTTGCATGTGGCAAGAAGGTGGTGAGCAGATCTGTGTGAGCTCCACGGTGCTATAAACCCGAGCCCTGCACTTACCCATAAAGGGCTGTTTACCCAGCCCAGCTCGGAGGCTGCCTTTCGCACACAAGAAGCTCCCTCGCCCCGAGAGCACACAAAGCTAGCTCTGCCCTCTGCGAGGCAAGAGGCCCTTGCTTAGCGAAGAAGTCAAGTTCACAGGAGAACAAGCAGTTCTGTCAAGTAATTGTGGGGCTTATCCACTGCGTTTTGAGGCATTTTACGTTCCCAAACAAAGCTGGAAAGGAAAAAAAAAAAAAAATGTGTGTCGAGGTAGGCCTGTTGTAGATATCTGACTAAAGTTGGGGGCATGAGAAATGGATGCAAGGCATCTATACAGCCCTAAAACTCTGCAGCGAACTCTGGAAACTCCATTGCTGGGTGACAGCCGGTCCAGCTCTTCTGTCAGATCACTTTGTCTCGCTGTATCTTAAATGGATTTGATCTACTYTGCTCAAAGGACTTCATTGTTCGAGTACTGCCCTGCCCACTGATGTTTATCTGATGGCCTTCCTACGGCATTTCCTCAAAGACACAAGAAAAATGAAGACCAAGTTCAAACCAACATCTAAAATGTCATCATACTCGCCGCGCTCTTCCAAGCCTGCCCACACCTGCTCTTTGAGCGGGTAAAAGGATACAAGTGTCCGTAACCTAATTACAAACCAGCCAGAAGCAGGGGTCACTCGCAATTAGGTTAGGGCTACAGTGAATTGGTTTAGAGCAAAACTGGAACATGCTGAACTAAACCGAAGCATGGGGCTTCGCGCTGAAGACACTGCTGATGTCGCATGACCTTGAGCAAAGGGACCAACACTTCCACACACAGTTGGGGAGCAGTATCTGCGTCCTCAGCTGCTGCAGGCTGATGGGAGACCTAAGACCTTCCCATCTGCAGAGGAGTTTTAGGAGAGCACAAGGCCAGGTGGGTACGGATGGACACACTCACAACGGCACAAGGGACTGAGATGAGTGAAAAGGCAAGGGACACAATCGCAAATATGTTTAAAGTCCAAGAAAGATGCCCAAGTGGCTTCTCTCCTAAGACTCCTCACCCATTAAACTCACTTTATGCAAAAGGCAGATTAAAACTATTCTTCCCTGGCATGGGAAAAGTACTAGTGCCAGCAAGCATGGTACAGGCTAGGAAGCTTAGATACCTCCTTATTCCACCAGTATGCCTGGCCCTGGGCATCCATCAAACCAAAAGGGTTCCCATGAACAAAGTTCTACATCATCCTCACACAGTGACTTTGCTCACATATTCCCACAGAATAAAAATCCAGCTGTTGGGTATGACAGAAAATACTCAACCACAAAACCACAGTGTGTTTACTATGTGCACACAGAAAAGTGAAAGCAAAACAAAACAACAACAAAAACACAAGCCAGTTCCTTGGCTTATCTGTCAGGCAATGAATCTTTCCAACCTCATACCAGCAAAAGCCATAGCAGTATTGAGCAGTATCAGCCAACACTGGTTGCAATGACAATATA